CTTTGCCCAAGCTATCTACCTGCCAGGCCACATGGTACTTCTGTATTTTATCTCAGGTATGGCTGGGTTTCAAAGCCCAACACTTCAGAGCACCCCCCCCCCCCCCCCCCGGCAAAACCAGACCTCTCTGATCCTCTCGGGGAGGGTCTCGTTGCACTGTAGCTAGTGTTGGCTTGTCCCGGAAAACAGTCACATGATGGTGTAGTGGTTCAGAGTTTATGGTAAAATGCAACCTGCAACAGGCACCAGAGTTGCCTGCCCTCACCTGGTGTCTTCGTTCCTATGCTGGTGAATGGGGAAACCCAATGGCACCCACGGGGTATTTTGCCTGCAGAGAAGCCATATCACCTCTACCAAATGCGATCCAAGCAGGAGAACTGTTTCACCCTATGCCACCCCAGGGATCCTCAGACTGTGCTGCCTGCTCCCAGAGGTCGCCCTCCTTCCCCACAAGAGCTCCACCAGGCAGAACCCGGACAATGGTGCTGACCTCTGAATCTTCAGACTCTGCACTCTACTGTTTATAAAAAAAAAAAAAAAACTGGCAGTATGGAAACCCTTTGTTTTTCCAATCAATGATTTTGGGGAACAGTTTCCTTATGCAGTCCCCTGCACATTTTTTCACTCTTTTTTTTTCCATTCCCCCCTCCCCCAATTCATTCTCAATCCTCTCTGTGATCAGGGCTCCCTCCACTCTGCAGCACCCATGACTCTTTCCCCCACCAAATCAATTCTTCTCAGCTCCTACCTCCAATGATCATTGTTTTCACTTGTAGACATGCAGCTTTGTTCTCTAAGACCACTGATCAATTTTGGGAGGTGTTCAGAATGACCAGAGGAAGCAAACTTGAGGTTGCCTTATTTCTCTGCCATCTTAACCCTTGCCCTAGATTCCATTTCAAGTCAATTTTTGTATGTGCTACAAAGTTTGGGTTGAGTTCCTTTTTTTAAGTTTTGCATATAAATGTCTAATTATTCCACCATCACTCTTTGAAAGCACATTTCTTCTATTGAAATATAGGGTACTTTTGTCAAAAATCAATTGACCAATAATAAAGATGAGAGCAGAAATTCTTAATCTCAGGAAACAAACTGAGGGCTGCTGGAGTGGTGGGGGGTGGGAGGGATGGGGTGGCTGGGTGATAGACATTGGGGAGCGTATGTGCTATGGTGAGTGTTGTGAATTGTGTAAGACTGTTGAATCACAGATCTGTACCTCTGAAACAAAAAATAGATTATATGTTAAAAAAAAGAATAAGAAGATAGCAGGAGGGGAAGAATGAAGGGGGGCGGAAATCAGAGGGGGAGACGAACCATGAGAGACTATGGACTCTGAGAAACAAACTGAGGGTTTTAGAGGGGAGGGGAGTGGGGGGTTGGGTTAGCCTGGTCATGGGTATTAAAGGGGGCACATATTGAATGGAGCACTGGGTGTTATATGCAAACAATGAATCATGGAACACTACATCAAAAACTAATGATCTCACTGATACGAGGAATTCTTAATCTCAGGAAACAAACAGGGTTCCTGGAGTGGTGG